AAATCGAGTTGGGTAAGACCCATATGCCAGCATTTATATAATCCTTCACCAATTTACCTTTAAAAACTTCATTTTTGGGATCAGCAGAAAATTGATAGCCTTTGAGCCAAGGATCCCAATACATAGAGAAAGAACAATCAGCCCCAACAGAGAAAGAAAGCAGATCTTTAATTTTTATAGCCGTATCATGTATTTTCTTCCAAAATTTAGAGGCATTAAGAGGGGGGATCTTCCAAGGGGAGTAATAGAGCGATTTGTACCAAACACTCAAGAGGTTGGAAGAGAAAAACCTGCTGATGAGAGAACAGAAAGTGCCATGATAAAGAGCCTCAATTGAAGGTATACCAAGACCTCCAAAACATTTAGGTAAGGTGACTTTGGACCAAGCAATAAGGTAAGGCATTCCATCATACAATCCATGTTGATTTCTTGGATCATGAAATATTTTCTCAAGAATAAAGTGCCTCAATGATGTCAGAGTTGAGCGATCTATGGCTTATTAGATTCATCTCCTCAAGTCACTTGATTTGATTTAAGCCTACCAAATTTGAAGATCATTTGGTCATACAATTAATGTCTAAAGTTTTAAATTATGCTTCAAATGTTTATTATGTTGTCATCACACTCGAATTAGACCAAATTTGGTATTGTGATATTTGTATTAATGAGATGTTCAGTTCAACTATAAGTTTGTTGAAATTTGAGTTTAGATGATCTTGAATTAATTAAGAAAAAAATTTTATTTAAATTTTACCTCAAGATTTTTGCTAATTATTTTTGGGTCTGTTGTCTAGAATGATGGTGAAATAGATGTGGATATTATTAGTAGAATTCAAGTTGGGGTTGAAGTGGAGGAATGCCTAGGACTTGTCGTGCGATAGAAAAGTCCCTCTCATACTTAAGGGAAAACCCTATAAGATGGTAGTAAGGTCTACAATGCTTTTATGATGTAGAATGTTGGCCATTAAAAGAGAAGCATTATATTAAGTTAAATGTTACAGAGATGAGGGTGCTCAAGTGGATGAGTGGCTTTACACTTAGAGACATTATACGAAATGAGCATATACGTGAAAAGGTTGGAGTAGCTACAGTGGAAGAAAAAATTAGATAGAGACACCTTACATGATTTGGTTACATAAAACGGCAGTCTTCTGATGACCCGGTTAGAAAAGTATATGCATTGTATTTGACTTATGTTAAGAAATGTAGAGGTATACCTAAAAATACTTGGTTATAAAATATTAGAAATGACATTTATTTATTAATTAGATTTAGATGAGAATTTAACTCTTCACATGACACAATGGAGAAAAAAGATTCATGTAGCCGACCTCACATAGGAATAAAGGCTTGTTGTTGTATTTGAGCTAATTATTCCAATTTTTGTAGGTAAATCCTAAACTCTAATATAATGTAGATGTGTATATACATTTTAGACACCACTAAATATGAAGCTAATGATATGATTAAGAATTGAGTGTCAACATTAGTGTTGTTGAGCATAAATGTTGGTGTGGACAACATTAGAACCATTTGAGATGATGAGTTGTAGCAAAGGCAGATGTTGCATCATTGCGACTAACTTCAACGGGGTTTGAAGGTCGTAAAAGATTTTAAGAAATCTCTTTTGATAGTGATGAAGAATGTGTTAACATAATGCAAATCTAGTAGTTACAAAAATAATTTTAATCAAGACATCTTATTTATTTTTCCCTTAATTAAATGTATATTTTATCATGTAATATACAAGTTTGATTGATATTTGTTTTTGAGAGTAATGATAATAGTTGATTAATATTCATGTAAGAATTATTTATAATTTTTAGAACTTGTCCCCCATGGGAGACCACATTGTTTAGATGTCTTTGACATTTGAAATACTTAACTAAATCTTTGACTTAATAATAAAAATATATTTCCTCAGTTGAAAAGAGAGTCCTCAATCTCTTAGTTGATAAGAATATAGGTACACATTATATGCACTTTAAATCTTCTAAATTAGTTTATATTCCTTTGGATGACTATAGATCATGTACATTCTTTTAATATTTAAATATCATAATGACCTCATATTTGAGTGATATTACGCTCGTTAGATTCCTTTCGTCAAAGCATTCTACTTAATTAAAAGCACACAAGATTTGGAGATCATTTGAGTCTTTAAGTAATGTCATAAAGTTTTTAATTATAGTTTAAGTGCTAATTATTCTGTACGGACGTTGAACGCCGTCCAGAGACCGGCCAGAATGATCCAAGTAACCCCATCGTTGTGTATCGCGGCTCGGTGTAGCTGACGTGACTGCACCTGATTCGTCTCCGGACGTTGAGCTGCGTTCAACCTCTGCACATATATAATAATTTCTCTTAATTTAGCCTCATTCGGAGTCTGATCAAATTACTCTTGATGTCAACGGGCTCATCTCACCGAAAAGTTTAGCATGATCATAAATTTATTGAAATTAGAGTTCATATGAACCTAAATTTAATCCTGGAAGTTCCAATCTAAAAATTACACTAAGATTCGTGTTTCAACCGTTGAATATTTGATTATGTATTAATTATCAATATTAAAATATTAAAACACAAATTTATAATCTTTTATACAAAGTAATCATAATGCATAATCATCTATCATGAAATTAGAATTTTTTTAAAAAAAAAAAATTATATTAATTTATAATTGATCCATTCATTCACTGCCATACACCTTCCAAATAGAACATATTGAAGAAGCCAGGTCTGCAATTTATTGTATTCCCTGTCATCATTAACTACAATGGACTACTTACTTGTTTTATATTCTGTATTTTATGTTATTTCAACCGCTGAATTCTTTTGGCCACCTTGTCTGTTGCATTTGACCAAGCCGAAGAACAGGCAAACCGGCTGCTGGGTTCGGTCTCCTTCATGGATATTAGTAATAACTATCTTGAAAATTGAAAAAATATATATATTGCAATTTATTTATTTATTTGTTTTATATATTGTTTTATATATTATATTTATTGGTGAATTATTTGTGACCGTTGCTATTTAATTTATTTGAATATTTGAAGAAGTCACCCTCCAACTGATTTGTTTTATATATTGTTTCCTTATTTTACATTTATTGCTGCCAAAATGATTTGAAGAGGAGAGGGTTATATCCAACAGAAGTGTCAATTTTGGATCACAGGTCGGTTCAGGTTGAACTCAAAAATCATTCGACACTATTCGGGTCAAACCAAACCTAACTCGTTTTTGCAAACGGGTCAGTTTTTCGAACTCGAACCCGACCTGGCCCGTAAGTCAAATCCCGTAACTCCACTTCGGGGTTCGACAATGGCAGAAATTGCGTAACTCCGATGCTGGCAGAAGCAGGCGATGTGATGCAGCGACACGAGACAGACACAATAGCGACGGCGACTCGAGGGCAGTAGGATTGCGTGCAACGACATCGCCGACACTGGCAAACGACAAACGCGACGCGGCAGTAGACACGCGAGGTAGCGGGGCAGGCTATGCAGCAGCGGCTCAATAGCCGATGCGATGGACGGGTCATTCCAAATCATATCCGAGTTTCCGGGTCAATCCGAACCCGACCCGATTTTGTAGTGTGTCAAAAACCCTAACCCGATCGAGTTCGGGCCAAAATTGCTGAGTAGAGTTCGGATTTGATTTTCGAGTTTTGTCAAATATTGACACCCTGACCTCAAATTATTTTATTTTATTAACTCTTTATATGTATTTTTTTTATAAATTTTGCTGTAAGAATAACTGAATTTATTGGCTGATTTTCTGGTGGAATTTTCCACAAAAAAAATCCGCCTGGTTTGATAATTATTTTAGGCAAGTTTTTTGCTAAAAAAAAACTATAGCAGAAAATCAGTCAGGTTAGCAACCAGAAGCCCGCATTTCGCTTTGATTGGACCTGATATGAAACCCGTCACAATTTTATTTATTCGTAATTTAGGTATGTCAAATAAAATTTATTTGAAAAATAAAGTTAGTTGTATATTATTGTCTTAAATTATTTTTTAAAAATTGGTTAACGATATTTTTAGAAAAGAAATAGTTAGTTGGGATTTGGAAAAATTAGTTAATGATAATGTTAGGTATTTTGAGTGAATTAGAAAAAAAGTTAGCGCTGATTTGGAAAAATTAGTTAGAAATATCTGTTAGTGACGATGTTGAGTGCGTTGAAAGATTTAGAAAAAATATTAAAAAAAATCATTTGTAACGATTTAAAAAATTAGCGGTGTTTCCAATGTTTTCAATTATTTTGATAATGATGTATTTAGTGGTGTTGTTAAATTATTAATCAGTGCTTATATCAATTAATTAATTAGTTAATTGCAAAACTAACTAAATTAGTTGGTTAATAATGGTTAGTAACAATATTAATTATTTAATTGTGGTTTGAATCACATAAAAGCTCCAAGAAAGTTATAAATCCTGTCCAATTTAATATTTTAATTTTTTTTTAAATTGAAAATTAAAAAACTAATATTAAATTTATGTCATTACATTTTTAACTTAATTATAAATCATGAGCTCCCTCCATAAAAAATTGAAAATTAAAAAACTAATATTAAATTTATGTCATTATATTTTTAACTTAATTATAAATCATGAGCTCCCTCCATATTGTTAGCTTAATTCCCTCTACTTAGCTTTACAGGAGAATGAAAGGTTTAAGTTTATTTATATATTATTTTTTAATATGTATTATTAAGTTCTGAGAAAGCTTAATGAAGAAACGATGGCTTTTCACTCACATGAACTTTGTCTATCGTCTCCATTGTTTCATCTTCTTCTAATCTATTTTGCAGGAAGAAGTTCACCGAACGGACGTTGAACTTCTACAAACATAACATGAAAGAGTAAGGCGGGCAAAAAAAAAAATCCAAGTTTTGTGGCTTTAGAGAGGTATATTTTCCACTTTTTACCCCAATAAATTACTCGCTGATTTATTATATTCTTTGAGAGTAAACAAAGCATCAGCATCTGTGTGGGCTTTGGCAGTTTGCAATGGCTCTTTGCTTGTTTGTCTTCGGCGCGGGATCCTGCTTTATTGGTGAGGAAGCCGAAGTAGAGTCACAGTGTATTCCCTGCGCCGCTGGAGGAATTTTAATCAGCAAAACTGCAAGTATTAATTAAAGAATGTTTTATCTTCCCAGAATTTGTTCGCCATTGAGAGAGAAAACGATAGGCTAAAACCAAAAGGATTTTCTTTCTTCAAGATAAAGTTTTCTCCTTTCCTGATCTTTTCCCATTCTTCGTTTTCATTGGAATGGTGCTGAGAGGTTAAAATTTTAGTAAAAGAGAGGTTTTTTGGGCCTGTTGAACTTTTTCGGAGGTGATTTTTCTCCTTCTGCCGGATAAAGGTTGGATTTTGCATTTGGGTTTTGGTTATTAGATGGAGTTGGGTCGGAAAGGTGGCTCTGTTGTTTGCTATCCTTACTGAGATCATGCATTTCTCTTTTTGATTCCGCCTCTCAGAAAGGAAAAGTTTGCTCTGTTTCTTTCTTCGGCAAGTTTATTAGGTGGCGCGGGCCTTTAACCGGGATTCCACCACAGTAATCTGCAGCATTTGGAGGATTACTCTTGTGTTTTTGTTGTTGGAATGGTCTTTTGAATCCTGAAAGTTCAGCTAAATAAATATGGATGAGAGCAAGATTTTCCGGGTCTTCTGTTCGTACTGGGTGCTAAGCTTGCTTCCACTGATGCCTTGGTTAACAGTGACTTATTCCTCTCTTTCACCTTCTGGTATAAACTATGAAGGTGGGTAGCTCTTGAGGTTGGCTTTTCCATCCTTGTACCATTATCATGCCTTTGCACTAGTTTTCAGAATGTGCTTTTGTCTTGAGCATTTGCTATTTCTTTGGTAATTTCGGAGTTTCCCTCTGTTCCATCCATTTATTCTTTTTTAGAAAGAAGTGAATCATTTACTTTGTTAAAGCCTTTTCATTTCAAACTCTGCATCTTCGAGCAAATTAAATGGTAGAACAGATGCAAGTCTTCAAATAGTTTTCTTTTTCAAGAACTTTGCATATAGCTTTGCGTAATATGAACTGTCACATTGCAATTTACTGCATTATGGGTTCCTAGCAGCTTTTGTAGCAGAACTTTTTTTTTGAATCTGACCTTCATCTTCCTCCAACATAGTTGTTGCATTGATGGCTATAAAGACGGCACTGAAAGACCCATATAATGTTCTAGAGAATTGGGACATAAACTCGGTGGATCCTTGCAGCTGGAGGATGGTCACCTGCTCCCCTGATGGATATGTCACTGCTCTGTAAGTTGCTTGGCTTCTGTATTTTCTTCTCTGCAGAAGGGAAATCCATTATCTTTCTGAGTATTTTTGATAATTTACTCGTAGGGGCCTTCCTAGTCAAACCTTGTCTGGAACTTTATCCCCTGGGATTGGTAATCTAACAAATCTGCAATCTGTGTAAGCTTACTCATTGCTTCCTGCATTCCCATTGAAATCTTTCATTTAGGGAAGTTATCATTAATCCATTTTCTTGCATTTTTCGTACAGGCTGCTGCAGAATAATGCAATTTCAGGACAAATTCCTCCTGTTTTTGGAAGGCTTGAGAAGCTTCAGACACTCGACCTCTCAAATAACCGGTTTAACGGCAACATACCGGGTTCCTTAGGAGATCTGAATAATCTGAATTACCTGTAAGATTCAGCACATATGTTAAAGTCCCTAATTGGTTTTTTTTGCTGACTGGTTAATGCACTTTATTCCTTTTTTAATGCTATTATTGTGATATTAAAATCTAATTATTTATCTAACACTTTTGATTAATCCTTCTATTATGAACAAACCAGGCGACTAAACAACAACAGCCTATCTGGACCCTGCCCAGATTCATTATCTAACATCAAAGGCCTCACTTTGCTGTATGTATTATCTCTTCAAGATTATAATTATCCATGCCTTTTAGCGGGTTTTGCCTTTAAAATCTTATCAAGAAGCTCATTAAGCTGCCATTATTGATGCTTATGTAGGGATCTTTCATTCAACAATCTCAGTGGTCCATTACCAACATTTTCAGCTAGGACATTTAAGTATGATAACTTACCTGTTCAATTTTTTCATTGTGCTATTTTTGCATGTTAACACTATTCTTGAATGTTTGCCAGCATTGTTGGAAATCCTTTAATATGTGGGAATAACTCTATGAGCAACTGTTCTTCTGTGTCTTTGGGTCCAATTTCATATCCTCCAGATGATCTAAATGGTAATATAACATTACTCATATAATGAACTTGCTCTTAACAATTTGGGGATTTGTTTTCATTGCTATAATAATTAATATAAGCATCTTGGATTTCTCAGCTCAGTCACGGCGTGGAGGGGTGAGAAGTCGTCGAATAATCATTGCCTTCGCCGCAAGTGTTGGGTCTCTCTTGATTGTAGTTATGGTGGTTGCTATGATTCTTTGGTGGCACTTTCGATACCATCAGCAAATTTTCTTTGACTTAAATGGTTAGCTACATTTTTAATCATATTAGTTCAATTTCAGTATAAATGGATATTATGAAAAGCTGTCAAGAACAGTCATCTAATGATGCAGTGCATCCCTAATTAAACCCGAAATGTAACACAAAATGACTCAGTGTAAATATTAATGTTTTCCTATACCATGGTAGGAGTTAGGTCAAGTGGATGAACATTCCAAGAAAAGAACTATACCAAAATATTATTATTACAATAGAAGAATATAAATCAGAAGGTTGGAAAGCTAGAAAAAGATTGCAATCAAGGATTAAACAAAATAATAAGACAAAATATTCTGGCAGTAGGTTAACTAACCTAACTCCTTGCCATTCCAAGAGAAGGGTAGGAATTTCAACTTATATTTCTTTAAATTAGGGTACTTGAGCGATCAAAGCATGTTCTTTTGCTCTCGAGATCTTAACATGACCATAATCTAACCTTGGGTAAATTTTCAACATTTTCTTCACTGTAGCAACATTTTGTGTGAGTGATTCTAAATGTCTTAAACTGTGGACGCCAAGACATTTGCTCATGTCAAATTAAAAGCTATTTGTTTGCTAGTATTTGAGTTCCTCTCTCCCCTTCCTTTATTGTATTCTTTCTTCCTCTTTAATTTTTTTTTTTTTTTCCAATAGTAGAATTGTAGGTCAAGATTCACAATGTTAGGTAATATGGAGATAAATTTCTTTAGGAATTTAGAGTTTTCTTAATATGGCATATGATCTCCATATTAATGTCAATTCTAGATTGAGATTTGAATTAGATTGTTTATGGGATAGGGGAAAGTAGAGATATTATGTAATATTTTAAGGAATTTGAAAGATTCTACATGTTAGTGAATGTATATTTGATGAAATAAGAAGAATGCTTGATTAATTGCATAAGTGAAGTCACCAAATCACAAATAGATTTCTTATTATTTTAAAAAATGAAAAATCTTTTTGAAATGACTATTAAGCCCCTCTAGGGGAAAACTTGACTTCACAATATAGGATTTATTAATGTTTAAGTTGAGTAAGCCCCGGACGCCGCACGTAATAATTTTCCCCAAATAAGGGAGTATTCCTTATTTCAGCTAGGACAGATCATAAGCTGCTTTTGTTTTTTAGAACAAAGGGGAAATTGGACATTAGTCAAATGCAACAACAATTGTATCTTGTTTAGTATCAGTTTTAGCCTCGCAGCAATTGAGTAACCTTTATCTCCAACTTTATATGAAGTATAACCTTCATAGATATGTCTTGAAACTTTGTGGAAATTATTTGATCTCTATCTCTGTGTAATTATGGAGCTTAATTGAAGCTAAATCATATAAATTTTAGTCATTTTTTTCAGTCCTTGCTTTCCATTGCTAGTGTATTATGAATTATGATGACCTACCACAGCTGAACTGTTCAGACCTTAGTTTAAGGCTTCGTTTGGGGCGACTTTCTTACTGCTTTTTTAAGTGATTTTTTAGTTAAAAAAATAATATTTTTCTACTAGAAAGCTGCTTTAAGAAGCAGTAAGAAAGCCGTCCCAAACAAATCCTAAATCTTATATTACAAACAGCTTTCTAATTCAACAAAACCAGCTTGCAATGGTTTCTTTGTGCTTGACTTATCACCACTAAAATATTCACTTATCTATGGATCAATAAAGATTTTATTTTTCTCATCCATCCTCACTAATCACCAACTTAGGCTTCGTTTGAGACGGTTTTCTTACTGCTTCTTAAAGCAGCTTTTTAGTATTAAAATTTTAATTTTTGAACTAAAAAGCCGCTTTAAGGCATAGTAAGAAAGCCGTCCAAAATGAAGCCTTAAACTATTTGATTATTACTAATTTTTTGAGTTATATAAATCAGATTTCTAACCTCACACAACCATAAGGCATGAATTATGTTATATGGCGCATGCAAATCTTGTTCGTTCTTGATTAATTTTCTGCTGGTTAAGCATAGTTAATGAAACCTTTTCTTATCTGAATACTCTCATTTTTACAGAGCAATATGATCCGGAACTACATTTTGGTCATTTGAAGCGGTACTCGTTTAAGGAGCTTCGCTTAGCTACTAATAATTTCCATTCGAGAAATGTATTGGGAAAAGGTGGGTATGGAATTGTTTACAAAGGATATCTACGTGATGGAACAGTTGTTGCTGTTAAGAGACTAAAAGATTATAATGCTCTTGGTGGAGAAGTCCAATTTCAAACTGAAGTTGAAATGATCAGCTTAGCTCTCCATCGGAATCTGCTTAGGCTTTTTGGGTCCTGCACAACTGAGGATGAGAGATTGCTTGTCTACCCTTTTATGCCCAATGGAAGTGTCGCTTCTAAATTAAGAGGTTTGTACATCATTGCAATCATCTTTCTGCTATATTTAGGCTTCGTTTGGGACGGTTTTTTACTGTTTCTTAATGCAGTTTTTTAGTAAAAAATTATTTTTTTTTTCTAGTGAAAAACTGCTTTAAGAAGCAGAAAGAAAGCCGTCCCAAACGAAAACTTAATCTTATGATAAATTTATCAGTTTTCTTTGTTAATAGTGTCTGGATGTTGGAGATCAAGCTGATTTTTTAATTTGATTAAGGCTTCGTTTGGGTTGACTTTCTTTCTGCTTTTTAAAGCAGCTTCTTTGCACAAATTTTTTTTAATTTTTGTACTATGAAGTATTTTAAGAAGCATAGAAAAGCCGTTCCAAATGAAGCCTAAAATTATTTCAGCTTCTTGACGTTTCTACTAATTTATGCAAGTTTCTCTGCACATTTGATTGAATGGCTTAGTTATAGCTTATAAGCCTTGTTTGAATAGTTCAAATATTTACTGCTGCATCAAATTAAGGATTCATTTGAGACAATTTTTTCGACAAGTATAATCTTGTTTGGATATATGTTTTTGTTGCTTTTCAAAAATTATTGACTTTTTATTATCAAATTTACTGAAATGTGATAGTTGTAAGAAAATTATTCTTCATTTTTTTCAAAAAAAAAATGTCATGCCTATAACAGCCTTAAAAAAATCAATTTTGCCCCTTTTACTTTTATACTTTCTATGGCTTTTGAATGTCTTTTGGGAGGGAATTAGAACCCTTAGTTTCTCTTTGTAATACAAAGGAAAATGCCATCGTGAGTTGTTAGCCATTGGCTATGGCTATTGAATCTTCATAAGGACTTCCTATGAAATGATTCAATGGTCATTTCACTATGCCTATTGAAAATCTTTGTCATGCTTATTAAGATATGTTATTCGGGAGATTAAGGCATCATTTGGCACGGCTTTCTTACTGCTTATTAAAGTAACTTTTTAGTACAAAATTTTTATTTTTGTACTAGAAAACTGTTTTAAGAAGCACTAAGAAAATTGTCCCAAACAAAACCTAAGAAAAATATATTGTGCCTACTAGTTTTAGGACAAATATAGATAATTTTCAATCAGAACAAGAGAGAGAGAGATTTGGGAGAGAGTGCTAGATAGAACAAGCACAGGATCTTCTATTTTTGCTCACCATAACCCTATACATACCATTGTCATCCTTACAGAACATATTCATGGAAGGCCAATTTTAGACTGGTCAAGGAGGAAAAGAATAGCACTGGGAACTGCAAGAGGATTGCTTTATCTGCATGAACAATGCGACCCCAAAATAATTCACCGCGACGTAAAAGCTGCCAACATTCTTCTTGATGAAGATTTCGAAGCAATCGTAGGTGACTTCGGCCTGGCTAAGCTTCTTGATCACCAGGAGTCTCATGTTACAACAGCAGTGCGAGGCACCGTCGGCCACATAGCTCCAGAATATTTGTCCACAGGCCAATCATCAGAAAAGACCGATGTCTTCGGCTTCGGCATTCTCCTTCTTGAGTTGATTACTGGGCAAAAAGCAATAGAATTCGGACGAGCAACCACCCAGAAAGGTGTGATGCTTCATTGGGTAAGCTCTTCTTATACATAATACATTTATATATCATTTTAGTGACTAATGATTATTTGTACTTTAATACATCATATATTTTAAAAATATCAGCAACATCTTATATAATGATAATTATTCTTAAACAAAACACATCTACACAATGTGTCGGGGATCCAAGGGGGCAGCGTCCCCTGACGGGGTTCGACCTGCCCGGTCAGGTCATGGGGTCAAGGGGCCCCTAAGGGGGTTGCCCCCGTAATAAATTTTGGTTGTAAGGATATTTTTGGATTCTCTTTACTATTTCTCTTTGTATTAGATTTATCGTTTCCTAACAATAACACAACTACACACTATATTTAATTATGCTCGGGGCGATTGCTTAAAGATCATAGTATTTTAAAACTTTCAGGAGGGCAATTGCCTAAAATCCCTTGTAATAAACTTTCTACATATTCTGCTAGCGGGCAATTGGATAAAGATCATAATATTTTCATTTTTTTTTTTGGGGGAGGGCAATTGCCTAAAGATTTCTATAATAAGGAAAAAAAATAAGTTGGAGAGGGATAAATTACTTAAAAATTTATGTAATAAACAAACTTTTAGTTTGTATTTGGGTATATGGTTTCATGAATCTGAAAAGGTTTTTGAATGCCTGCAGGTGAAGAAACTCCAACAAGAAAAAATACTAAGTATGATGGTGGATAAAGACCTGAAGAACAACTATGACAAGGTTGAGCTCGAGGAGATGGTTCAGGTGGCTCTCCTTTGCACACAATCGCAACCCGCGCACCGGCCGAAGATGTCAGAAGTGGTGCGGATGCTTGAAGGAGATGGCCTCGCTGAGAGATGGGAGGCTTCACAAAGGCTTGACACGCCAAAGTTTCGATCTTTTGAAGAACCTCCACCGAAGTACATGAACGTTGTTGAGTCTTCTTCACTTGATATCGAAGCGATCGAGCTATCTGGCCCCCGATGACAGTTTGTATAGGGATTAATGATTTTCGCTAGTAACTTTTGTTTGAGAGATTTGATGGTTTTGGTAGAGGAAACATATTGTTTTTTTTGTTGAATTCAGTTGCTTTGGTTTTAAAATTATTCTTGTCTTGTACATAAAGGAATTGATAGAAATGAATTTTGACAAGTTGGTCTGAGGCTCTGAACTGATCCTTTTCTTGGCTTTGGAGATGACATTGTTGGCTTTGAGCTTCTGAAAACTAGCAAGCTTTTAATATGTTTCAGGTACAATAATCTCATAACAAAATTCAAACTTGTAATGAATCTTACAAATTTTCACTTGCTGATGTATGATGAAGCAATTGTTACATCAATCATGCACACAGTTGTAATCATTCGTTGGTTGGAAAAATTATCACGGATTTGGACCCTAATCAAGTGGAACTACATGGCTTTTTCTTTTCTTTTTCTTGCAAAAAAAGGTCTGCATAACTTCACATGATTGGAGTCTGAATAAAAAATCATACCGGAACTCCGTACTTAATAATCTCTCCTACTGTTGAATATCAACTAATAAGAAGATGAGATGCTAAGAGTTTTGGGCTAAATTAGTAATTAGTAAAGAAATGTGAGTAGGAAGCTTAGCTGATGTTCCTTTTGCCAATTGAGTTATTTGTTATGGTTTGAAGGTGATTGGAGTTCAATTTCAAAAGGGAGTTTTAAAAGGAAAAATTTATGATGAGTTTATATCTTCTAATGTTATAATTTCATTTATTATCATCCCTCTACTTTCTAATGATAAAGAATTTTCTTTCTCGACTTTTCGATTGATTTTCAAAAAAAATATTTTGGAATAATAGTTAATCTCAGCATCTGTGAATGGTCTCTCAATGCAAGCAATTCAGGCTGAGCTAGAGTAACTCATGTTGATCATAATCATCATTAATTAATCAATCCTAGAGGTTTTATTCTAAAAATTCTACCTAACTCAAGTGCCAAGAGCCATATTATTTATACCGAAAGAGAGAATACTTATGATTCAAACAATGAGAAAAAATTATAAGAAAAAGAATAAAAAATTATTATTTAATATAAGAAAGTGTCAATAAATGTATACATATTTTAACAATTTTATACATAAATCCTTAATACAGGTATTATACATAATTCATATACATTTAATATAAACAAGGCAACGAACGGTTAGCATAAAGAATTAGTGAAGGCAAAAGCAGGCCATAATTCAATTTTTACATACAGTACACGTAAAATTTTATATTTAGGTGCAAAACATTTACTTTACAAACATATCCTTCCTTTAATTTGACATTAAAGATAACATACAAAAAATGAAAATAAAAAAACATAGCCTGCATGTAAATCCCCATAAAAATTATCCATATGCAATGTGTCTCCATCAAAGCAAACTTTACTAAAGTAAATTGCAGAAAAAAAAATTCAAAATATTGCATGGCTGGGACAGACATTTTCTTAAAATAACATTATATTTTCCAGACACGAACCCGACCGGCTTCGGGTTCGGGTTAATTCAAATCCAAAATTTTCGAAACGGGTTCGGGTCGGGTTTTCGGATCGGATCCAATATTGACAGGTCTACCAAAAATATCAAAAGAAACAGATGAAAATAGTCTTTTCACCAATGATCCAACAAACAATGTAGCTCCCCAACGTCCAATGCAGAGTAAGAAGTATCTGTACTGGATAGCGAGGGGAGCCTATTTTCTAGCTTCGCACTTTTCAACCCTACAGAAAAACAATAGCAACATTCATAGGAAAAATAAATAAATCCTGCGAAGCTCAATGATAGATCAGGAGTTAAAACTGAAAGCAAAGCATAATCTTTCATTTGCATAACGTAACAAAACTTTATGTTCCATCTCCTTAAAAATTACCATAAATATGGGTATCTGAAGCTTCAAATTTCTAAAACAACCGAGAATTAAATCGATTAAATAGATTAATACTGGAAATCTATTTATTTTTGTATTGCTGCAAATGATGGATTAGAAGCAGCAAGCACCTAATTTTTATAAAAATTTTGCGCACCTGAAACACATCAGACTTTAGCTCATGCTAGCCTCTTTGATCAATCAACACCACTGAAACAATTGATCTAATTGCACCAATGTTGAACGGGAGACGCACAAATTTAAAATTAGTAGATCGCAGAATAATAGCATAAAATGTGTAGAGGATAACATCAGAACTATAGGAAGAGATGATTCCCTGTTGGAAAATTCAATGGCTCTTCACATGGAAGTTCGATTACAAAGCAGAAAAACTAGCAGAACAAGGCACAACTCAGTCCCTTAGATGTTCTTAAATTCTGCGATCATGTCCGCAAAACTCATTACAGGTCTGTAGGATCATCAAAGTTGTTAAAACCTCAGGAATAAATGTTAATTTTTTAAAAAAATTTAAATTATAAAATACAAAACAAAATTTCTATCAGGTAAATCTAATGAGCTCTGCTAAGATTGGCGTGTATGTAATTCGATAGACATACCGAGGATCAATAGTTATCACCGTGGATCACATAAATGTGATTATTGTCCAAAATACAACAATCAATCTAGCTTCAAGGGAACGAGTACATTGGGAACTGAGATCATCCTCAACGACCAGATTGTGAAGCTATGGAAAGCAATGCCCGAAAGTCATTTCATCTGCAAAAATAAAATGAGTTCAAATATGATTACATGAAACCCTAATTCATTTCTATCATGGTGTTAAGCTGAAATTTCAAACAACCACATGCACTTGCTGAAATCAGCGGAACCTACAATGCAGAAAAATTGGTGCTCGGATATAAGCATCAAGAACAGAAAAATAACAGTGAGACCACTGAGAGGAAACGATATGCAATGGATTAAGCGAGTCTGAGAGAAAACAACAACAGAAATCGATAAAAAAACGCATAAAATAAATATTGTGGCATGCAATAAATTTAAGGGAATGCACTGTCAGTTTAAGAACATCTATTTTGAAACCATCATAAGAAGAACCGGAACACTGGAGCTGGAGAGTGCATCGCCACCACGGACACGCTTAGGGAAGAGACAAGGGCGGAAACAAAGGATGGCTATGATTTATTCAGCCTAACATCGACGGTGAAAATTATAACCAAGATGATGATACTAAAAGCGATGAGGCCGACATCTGAAGTCCATGATGAAGTGGAAATCAACAAAGTAGAACCCAACAAACAACATTGGAATTATACATACATACATGCATGCATGCATACACATAAAGATAAGCCTACAAAAAAGATGAAAGCAAATCAGGCTGAGCTAGAGTAACTCAGGCTGACCATAATCTTCATTAATTAATCAGTCCTAGAGGTTTTATTCTACAAATTCTGGCTAACTCAGGAGCCAAGAGCCAATTTATTTATCATGAAAGAGAAAATATTTATAATTCAAACAATTAATACAGTAAATGAGAAAAATATATAAGAAAAAGAATAAAAATTTATTAAATATAAGAACGTGGCAATAAATTTATACATATTTTAACAATTTTATGCATAAATCCTTAATACTGGTACACAATATATTTCTTATAAAACAATGTAGCTCCCCAACGTCCAATGCAGAGTAAGAAGTATCTGTACTGGATAGCGAGGGGAGCCTATTTTCTAGCTTCGCACTTTTCAATCCTACAGAAAAACAATAGCTCAATGATAGATCAGTAATTAAAACTGAAAGCAAAGCATAATCTTTCATTGGCATAAAGTAACTAAACTTTATGTTCCTTCTCCTTAAAAACTACCATAAATACGGGTATCTATAGCTTCAAATTCCTAAAACAATCGAGAATTAAATAGAGATTAATACTGGAAATATATTTATTTGTTCATTGCTGCAAATGATGTATTATAAGCTGCAAAAAACTGATCTTTATAACAATTTTGCGCACCTCAAACACGTCAGACTTTAGCTCATGCTAGCCTCTTTAATCAATCAACACCGCTGAGACAATTGATCTAATTGCACCAAGGGTACTAACCAAACAAATTTTTTCAGTATTGTCCAATTCAAGTATGATGTTGAACGGGAAACGCACATATTTAACATTAGTAGATCGCAGAAGCAATAATAGCATAAAATGTATAGAGGATAACATCAGAACTATAGGAAGAGATGCTTCCTTGTTGTAAAATTCAATGGCTCTTCAGATGTAAGTTCGATTACAAAGCTGAAATTCAAAATCAAAGAACTAGCTGAACAAGGTACAACTCAGTCCCTTAGATGTTCTTAAATTATGCGATCATGTCCGCAAAACTCATTACAGGTCTGTAGGATCATCACAGTTGTTAAAACCTCAGGAATAAATGTTACTTTTTTTATAAATTTAAAACTAGAAACACCAAACCAAATTTATATCAGGTAGATCAAATGAGCTTGACTAAGATTGGCGTGTATGTAATTTGATAGACATACCGAGGATCAATAGTTATCACCATGGATCACATAAAAGCGATTACTGTCCAAAATACAACAATCAATCTAGCTTCAAGGGAACGAGTACATTGGGAACTGAGATCATCCTCAACGACCAGATTGTGAAGCTATGGAAAATCAATACCCGAAAGTCATTTCATCTACGAAAATAAAACGAGTTCAAATAGAATTACATGAAACCCTAGTTCATTTCTATCATGGTATTAGCTGAAATTCCAAACAACCACATGCACCCGAAGAAATCAGCGGAACATACAAACCAGAAAAATTGGTGCTCGGATATTAAGCCGCAAGAACAGAAAAACTACCGTGAGAGCCACTGAGAGGAAATGATATGCGGTGGATTGAGCGAGTCTGAAAGAAAACACCAAATTGTGGCATGCAAATAAAAAATAAGGGACCGCACAGTCAGTTTAAGAACATCTGTTTTGAAAACTATAATAAGATCCGGAACTCTTGAGCTAGAGAATGCATCGCCAACACGGACGGGTTTAGGAAAGATATTAGGGCAGAAACAAAGGATGGCTATGATTTATTCAGCTTAACATTGACGGTGAAAATTATAACCAAGATGATGACACTAAGAAAAAGGAGGCTGACATCTGAAGTCCATGATGAAGTGGTAATCAACAAAGTAAAGGCACTCAGATGCCCCAACGAACTATATTGGAAATCTGTAATAATTTTTTATATATATACCCATACATACACATAAAGATATGCTTACTAAAAGGATGCAAGCAAATAAGGTTGAGTTAGAGTAACACAGGTTGACCATAAATCTCACTAATTAATCAGTCCTAGAGGTTTTATTCTACAAATTCTGGCTAGCTTAGGAGCCAAGAGCCAATTTATTTATCATGAAAAGAGAAAATCCTTATGATTCAAACCATTTAATACAATAAATGAGAAAATATATAAGAAAAAGAATAAAAAAAATTATTTAATATAAAAAAGTGGCAATAAATTTATACATATTTTAAAAAATTTATACATAAATCCTTAATACTGATATACTACACATTTCATATACAAACAATGTTACTCCCCAACGTCCAATGCAGACTAAGAAGTATCTGTACTGGAAAGCGAAGGGAGCCTATTTTTTAGCTTCGCACTATTCAATCCTACAGAAAAACAATAGCAACAATCATAGGAATAAAAATAAATTCTGCAAAGCTCAATGATAGATCAGGAACTAAAACTGGAAGCAAAAGCATAACCTTTCATTGAGAAAAACTAACTAAACTTTATGCTCCTCCTTAAAAATTACAATAATATGGGTATCTATAGGTTCAAAGTCCTATAACAACCGATAATTAAATCTACTAAATAGATTAATACTGGAAATCTATTTATTTGTTCATTGCTCAAATGATGTATTATATGCTGCAAACAGCTGATCTTTATAACAATTTTGCGCACCTCAAACATGTCATACTATAGCTCATGCTAGCCTCTTTGATCAATCAACACCACTGAGACAATTGATCTAATTGTGCCAAAGGTATTAACAAAACAAATTTTTTCAGTATTGTCTTATTCAGTTATGATGACGGGAGACGCATAGATTTAACATTAGTAGATCGCAGAAGCAAATAATAGCATAAAATGTATAGAGGATAACATCAGAACTATAGGAAGTGATGCTTCCCTGTTGTAATATTCAATGCCTCTTCAGATGGAAGTTCAAAATCAAAGAACTAGCTGAACATGGTACAACTCAGTCCCTTAGATGTTCTTAAATTCTGCGATCATGTCCGCAAAACTCATTACAGGTCTGTAGGATCATCACAGTTGTTAAAACCTCAGGAATAAATGTTAATTTTTTTAAAAAATTAAAACTATAAATAACAAACAAAATTATTATCAGGTAGATCAAATGAGCTCGGCTAAAATTGGCGTGTATGTAATTCGATAGACATACCAAGGATCAATAGTTATCACCGTGAATCACATAAATGTGGTTACTGTCCAAAATACAACGATCAATCTAGCTTCAAGGGAACGAGTACATTGGGAACTGAGATCATCCTCAACAACCAGATTGTGAAGCTATGGAAATCAATACCCGAAAGTAATTTCATCTACAAAAATAAAATGAGTTCAAATATTATTACATGAAACCCTAGTTCATTTCTATCATGTCGTTAGCTAAACTTCTAAGCAGTCACATGCGCCTGGTGAAATTAGCGGAACCTACAAAGTAGAAAAATCGGTGCTCGGATATAAACGGCAAGAACAGAAAAACAACCGTGAGTGCCACTGAGAGGAAATGATACGCGGTGGATTGAGTGAGTCTAAAAGAAAACAACAATAGAAATCAATAAAATATGCGTAAAATAAATATTGTGGCATGCAAATAAAAAAAAAAGGGGACTGCTCTGTCAGTTTAAGAATATCTATTTTGAAAACCATCATAAGAAGAACCGGAACACTTGAGTTGGAGAGTGCATCGCCACCATGGACGCGCTTAGAGAAGAGACGAGGGCGGAAACAAAGGATGGCTATGATTTATTCAACTTAACATCGAAAGTGAAAATTATAACCAAGATCATGACACTAAAGAGAACGAGGCTGACATCTGAAGTCCATGATGAAGTGGAAATCAACAAAGTAAAGATGCCCCAACAGACTATATTGGAATTATAATATATATATATATACACACACACACAAAAGCACATAAAGATAAACTTACAAAAAGGATGCAAGCAAATCAGGCTGAGCTATAGGAGCTAGAGTAGTAACTCAAGTAGACCAAAATCTTCATTAATTAATCAGTACTATAGGTTTTATTCTACAAATTATGGCTAACTCAGGAGACAAGAGCCAAGTTATTTATCATGAAAGAGAGAAAATACTTATGATTCAAACAATTAATACAATAAATGAGAAAAATATATAAGAAAAAAGAACAAAAAAAAAATTTAATATAAGAAAATGGCAATAAATTTCTACAAAATTTAACAATTTTATACATAAATCATTAATACTGGTATACTATACATTTCATATACAAACAATGTAGCTCCCCAACGTCCAATGCAGAGTAAGAAGTATCTGTACTGGATAGCGAGGGGAGCCTATTTTCTAGGTTCTCACTTTTCAATCCTACAGAAAAACAATAGAAACAATCATAGGAAAAATAAATAAATTCTGAAAAGCTCAATGATAGATCAGGATTTAAAACTGGAAGCAAAGCATAATCTTTCATTGGCATAAAGTAACTAAAATTTATATTCCTTCTGCTAAAAAATTACCATAAATTTGGGTATCTAAAGCTTCAAAATCCTAAAACAACCGAGAATTAAATTGATTAAATAGATTAATACTGGAAATCTATTTATTTGTGCATTCCTGCAAATGATGTATTAGAAGCAGCAAAGTAGCAAACAACTGAGCCTTATAACAATTTTGCGCACCTCAAACACGTCAAACTTTAGCTTATGCTAGCCTCTTTGATCAAGCAACACCACTGAAACAATTGATCTAATTGCACCAAGGTATCAACAAAACAATTTTTTTCAGTATTGTCTTATTCAGTTATGGTTGAACTGGAGAAGCACAGATTTAGCATTAGTAGATCTCAGAAGCAATAATAGCATAAAATGTATAGATGATAACATCAGAACTATAGGAAGATATACTTCCCTGTTGGAAAATTCAATGGCTCTTCATATAGAAGTTCAATTACAAAGCTGAAATTCAAAATCAAAGAACTAGCTGAACAAGGTACAACTCAGTCCCTTAGATGTTCTTAAATTCTGTGATCATGTCCACAAAACTCATTACAGGTCTGTAGGATCATCAAAGTTGTTAAAACCTCAGGAATAAATGTTAATTTTTAAAAAAATTTAAAACTATAAATAACAAACAAAATTATTATCAGGTAAATCAAATGAGCTCGGCTAAGATTGGAGTGTATGTAATTCGATAGACATACCAAGGATCAATAGTTATCACCGTGGATCACATAAATGTGATTACTGTCCAAAATACAACAATCAATCTAGCTTCAAGGGAACGAGTACATTGGGAACTGAGATCATCCTCAACAACCAGATTGTGAAGCTATGGAAATCAATACCCGAAAGTAATTTCATCTACAAAAATAAAATGAGTTCAAATATTATTACATGAAACCCTAGTTCATTTCTATCATGTCGTTAGCTAAACTTCTAAGCAGTCACATGCGCCTGGTGAAATTAGCGGAACCTACAAAGTAGAAAAATCGGTGCTCGGATATAAACGGCAAGAACAGAAAAACAACCGTGAGAGCCACTGAGAGGAAATGATACGCGGTGGATTGAGTGAGTCTAAAAGAAAACAACAATAGAAATCAATAAAATATGCGTAAAATAAATATTGTGGCATGCAAATAAAAAAAAAGGGACTGCTCTGTCAGTTTAAGAATATCTATTTTGAAAACCATCATAAGAAGAACCGGAACACTTGAGTTGGAGAGTGCATCGCCACCATGGACGCGCTTAGAGAAGAGACGAGGGCGGAAACAAAGGATGGCTATGATTTATTCAACTTAACATCGAAAGTGAAAATTATAACCAAGATCATGACACTAAAGAGAACGAGGCTGACATCTGAAGTCCATGATGAAGTGGAAATCAACAAAGTAAAGATGCCCCAACAGACTATATTGGAATTATAATATATATATATATACACACACACACAAAAGCACATAAAGATAAACTTACAAAAAGGATGCAAGCAAATCAGGCTGAGCTATAGGAGCTAGAGTAGTAACTCAAGTAGACCAAAATCTTCATTAATTAATCAGTACTATAGGTTTTATTCTACAAATTATGGCTAACTCAGGAGACAAGAGCCAAGTTATTTATCATGAAAGAGAGAAAATACTTATGATTCAAACAATTAATACAATAAATGAGAAAAATATATAAGAAAAAAGAACAAAAAAAAAATTTAATATAAGAAAATGGCAATAAATTTCTACAAAATTTAACAATTTTATACATAAATCATTAATACTGGTATACTATACATTTCATATACAAACAATGTAGCTCCCCAACGTCCAATGCAAAGTAAGAAGTATCTGTACTGGATAGCGAGGGGAGCCTATTTTCTAGCTTCGCACTTTTCAATCCTACAGAAAAACAATAGCAACAATCATAGGAATTAAAATAAATTCTGCGAAGCTCAATGATAGATCAGGAATTAAAACTGGAAGCAAAGCATAATCTTTCATTGGCATAAAGTAACTAAACTTTATATTCCTTCTGCTAAAAAATTACCATAAATTTGGGTATCTAAAGCTTCAAAATCCTAAAACAACCGAGAATTAAATTGATTAAATAGATTAATACTGGAAATCTATTTATTTGTGCATTCCTGCAAATGATGTATTAGAAGCAGCAAAGTAGCAAACAACTGAGCCTTATAACAATTTTGCGCACCTCAAACACGTCAAACTTTAGCTTATGCTAGCCTCTTTGATCAATCAAATTTATTTATTTCATTTTTTATATATATTTAAATAATAATCTCAGTTTTTCTATCCTCGATACATGTGAAATGAAGCGCGAATGGAACCATCTGATCTGTCTTGATGAGCTGAACGCACCCATACAGTCTGTTTCACAAAACGAGATCCACATCAAAAGACATGAAATAAGAAAACATAGAATTTGAATATTTATCATTATATATTGGGAAGTTCAAGGCTTGAAATTAACTAGCCATGATCTCAAAAGTCAAAACCAATATTTCAATAATTGATGATGTTAACAAACTTTTATTAATAAATAAAATTGATATCATATATTTATATTATATATTAATGTTTTAAATTTATATTTTTGTTTTATATTAATATTCATAATGGTGTAAATTTTAGTTAATTATTTAGCAGTTCCCAAATTTAAGTTTTTTTTTTTGGAAGATTATAACACTAAGCATGTTTAATTATTAAATTAATCATTTAAACATGATTTAAAAAAAATAGAATTAGGCAAAGTCGCCCCTTTAATGGGTAATTCATGCTAACTAGGACTTGAGTTATATAGCTGAGTCAGATAGTCGTTTACAGTATGAAAAAATTAATGAGTAATGTAAGTCGCCTGTTTAACAATCCAAACTTTATCTATCGAGATATTGTCTGCTTCGACCTAAGAGCCTCACTATTTGTTCATGTTGGTGTAACTTCTCAGCACGTCACTCATCCCAAAATTGCTCTGAGATGAGCACGCTTAACTACAGAATTTTTTACTGAAATTCCAACTATTACACCAAAAGGTGTCTCGATATTTAAGAGTTAGCTTTCTTTTACTTAGGGATTTCACAATCTCTCCCACTTAAGTAACTGGCATCCTCATCAGAATCTGTATTTCATAATCATCCAGCATGCAGATAGGACTTTAGATGTGGCCCCTACAAGTTCAAGTGGTGGCTCCCACCATGAAGCACTTTGTCCCATATAGGATTCAAGAGGTGGCTCCATGGCGTGGCACTTTCTCTTGTATGACACTTAACTCTCATCTTTCGGCTGGTGTATTGCTATGATACCATTTGTAACAGCCTAAATTTTTAACTATCAAAATTCCAACATAATCATATATTTTTCAAATGACAATCATAAAACCCCGAGATAGTCGTATTGATAAATATCTCAATCAAAGGAGATCCCATATTTTCAATATGTATATTTTATGAAATATGAATATTTAAAGTGATTTCAAAATCACCTCGTTGATAACTACTTGAATGTAAATCTCAACTAGATAGATCAATTCTTAAAGCTTGTTTTGAAATCTAATATCTATTAAATTTTAAAGTTTTAAATGAAAATTTAATCATCAAAAACCTAAAGCTAAAATTCATCCGCCTCTTCCAATAATTTGTCAGGGTGATAAATTTAAAATTAGCTTCATTTCATTATGAGTGAATGTCATGTCAGATGTATCACTAAGATTCATTCTCAGGTAACCTAATGCCAGCAGGGACATGACATGTGTCCTCTGCTTGAGTGACTTTACTGCAAAATATAACAACTATATTACAATTATGACCGAAGTCTACATGTTCCCTAATGATTTTATGTTCTTAAGTAATAAATCATAAGATATATTTGATAGGCACAAAGCCCTTTTTATCAACTAAGGTGGACTCAAATCAACTCACATAGACAAACATCCACCCCAAGTTGATAAGATATTCTTGGACAAAGTAACTCATGATTGTTGTTGCTATTATACACTATGTAATTATTGCGACCTACTTAACAACTAGTCTAAATCAAAAGTTCTTTGTCGTTATCATGAGATGCAATTAATTATAGGGGCTTATGACTATAGAAAATCATAACTTATATCGTAAAGCCCTCACAAAATGAGGTTAAAATTTTTGTGTAGTGTCTTTTATAAAACCTAAGCTATCTTGTGAAAATTTACCCCGAATCTTAATTCGTTAAAACTCTCCAGTTAATAAAAGCATGCGAGAAGAGGCTGAGGTGCAAATTTTTGGAGCCCACAATCATGTGCATACTCTTATGCGATTTTACTGCACATATATGATTATGACAGTCTTTATAGATATTTCAGTTGTACTGATTTATATGTTATTCTTATGGATTGATAATACTACTATGATAACTGTTTTATTGATTCAATATTAATATTGATTTATAGATTTCACTGTTAGTGTATTGTACTGTTTTTTATTGGCTTAGGTAATGTACTATTCCATTATTTAACAATTTTTATTAGTACTATATATAGTTTATTATTTATGTATAGATGCATGATCATATTGACTGCTAATATTATAAATTGACTGACAACAAATATATTACTTCTTTAACGTGCTTTGAATTCAGTTATATGATTTAATGACTTGTTAGACTTTTAAGCTCATTATATGTGGTTTAAATGATTTTAGGTCACGAAAGATAATCGGGAGTGTGAAACTGATCAGTTATAAGATCCTCCAGGTTTTCTATTATTTTTTTTAATTATTCTTTTACAGTTAGGGGTAGATAGATAGTATATTACGATTGTGTAACATCTAGCTATTATACATAATTTTTGAAGTATGAATACAAATGCATATTAATATTTTGATTAATAGAATTATTTTCGTTCCTAATTTATATTATTAATAAAAGATAATATATAGCTTTGGTAATTTTTATTATTATTAAAAGATAAAAAAAAATCCTTCTAAATTAGATTATGAGATGTGACACAGAAGGGGCCAAAAAAGTACTTGCAATGCTGCTTAACCTCCCACACTTGTTTCATATAAAAAATGTACATAACATATAAAAAATTGTACTTCTTCATCTTTCAGAACAAAACAACTTCAATGCCACATAATACAAAAATGAAATGTAATGCAATAATAAATAAATTAGGTAGTTAATGCAATATTCAGATGATGGATGATGAATGAATGACTAACAAAATGCCACGATACTTATAAAAAGGACTACTCATTGAACTTTTTCTTTTTAATTTTCACTTTCAAAAGAAAATTCATCTTAATATGTTAAGGCATTTATATAAGAGGGATTTACATACATACCACTTTATTTCATGCTATTTACATATCTAACATCCAAAACATCAATATTACATGCCTACCACTCATAGAACAAATTTGAATTGCATGGAATGAAATATTAAAATTTATAGGATGGTATGAATGGTAAAAAGGAATTATATGAGTTATATATTTTATATTAAAATTGTATATGGGTGGTAGGCATGTAATATTAATATTTTAGGTGTTAGATATATAAATAGTATGAAATAAAATGGTATGTATGTAAATTTCCCTTTATAAACAACTATTATTACCAAAATAAACAATTCAAAAATATACTCATAAATTGGTATTGGAAAAATTAAATGTTGAAAACTCAATTATATATAACAAAAAAGTCTATAATAAAGAGTACAATAACATGCCAAAAATCATGTGGTGATAATTTCATAAAACCCAAAATAAATATATTTTTGTTCATAACTTTTTATAAATTTATTGTAATTAAAATCATCGACTGGGGTTTATGAGTATACTAGGAGCTTTACAATTTCCTAAATTAGCTTGACAGATAAATCCTGGGCCTCGGCCTCCAAACTCCTCTCTCTTTTTTATTTTTTTCTTTCCTCCTCCTTTCTCTGGCAAGCATGCAGAAGTAGTGAGTTTTGAAAATTGTTTAAGATATTTTAATATTCAAATTTTTATTATTTTGAACTAGTGTTATGGCGCCCGACTACCTTAGCATCACAGCGTTATAGAAAATCTTCTAAATGCCCCCATAATATGCTCACCTGAAACCAAGCACCTCAACAATACTTCCTATCTCACGTTTGCCCAAACTTAAATTTTAATATTTTTAATCCCAAACCTTCATTGCTTCCTACTCTATTCAATATTCTAAGACTTATAAATACTATTTAACCTAAAATTGAGGATTAGTTATATAAATCACCTGGATTTGATGACAGATGATACATTCTGTTCCCACCCAACTTATAAATACAATTCATTACTTATATCCTAGAAAATAGGAGTAACTTTAATGTAAAAAATTTCTCAAGATATAATAAAATCAAGAACACATGCCAAGCAAATGATTTCCCTGAGAATTAGGTAATCATAGTTGTTTTATACTTGATGGAATACCACATCCAATTTATACACATATGATTGAAAACTATAATTATAAATTTTATCGAATCGAAGTCAAACTATCTATTTATATATTTATCACTATTGCTTTAAGTGGCGTGCATACGGTATTCTTTAGTAAAAGGCGAAAGAATAGTTTGCACTGTGCTCACCACGCAGCTGCGATTTCTCACTATTGACTTAGTAGATATATTTTCCATGAAATCAGTGCAACTCAAGTTCAGCTTAATCCATCAAAATTTAAGCATCAATATAGAATTGCTTAGCATTGAATTTGTAACAAAAATATAAAGGCACAAAATAGAGCAACTATCAACTAATGAGACAAAATAAATTTTATCGAATCATTTTAGAACTAGTTGATAAGACTAGAGACGGAGTTGAAGATAAACTTGAATTATGGAGGTCAACCTTAGAGTCTAAAGGTTTTCACTTGAGTAGATCTAAAACGGAATATATGGAGTGTAATTTTAGTAGTAATAGACCTAGTGAGGGGATTGTGACTTTGGGCGATCAAGTCATTAATAAGAGTACACATTTTAGATATCTTTGATCTATTGTTCAAAGTGATGGTGAAATTGATGGGGATATTATCAACAAAATTCAAGTTGGATGGTTGAAGTGGAGGAATGCAACGAGCTTGTTGTGTGATATAAAAGTACCCCTCAAACTCAAGGGAAAATTCTACAAGATGGTGACGAGGTCTGCAATGCTTTATGGTGCCGAATGTTGGCCATTAAAAAAGAAGCATAATACTAAGTTAAGTGTGGCAGAGATGAGGATGCTCATGTGGATGAGTGGCTTTACCCTTAGAGATAGGATACAAAATGAGCATATACGTGAAATGGTTGGAGTAGCTCCAGTTGAAGATAAAATTAGAGAGAGAGTCGCCTTAGATGGTTTGGTCACATAAAACGGTGGCCTTCCGATGACCCGATTAGAAGAGTATAGGTATTAGATTTGACTTATGTTAAGAAAGGTAGGGGCAGACATAAAAAGACTTGGTTAGAAAATATTAGGAATGACTTTTGTTTATTAGCTTTTTAAACGAGAATTTGACTTTTAATAGGACACAATGGAGAAAAAATGATTCATGTAGCCGACCCCACGTAGTGGGATAAAGGCTTGTTGTTGTTGTTGCTGTTGTATTTTAAAACTAGTTAATAACACTCAATCATACTACAGATAATAGGGGACACCTGCATTAAAAGGACTGCTGCTTTCAAGTATTTAACCACGCGCCCTACCATGAGCTAAGCCAAAATCCTATGGGGCTGTTTGGTAGCAGGATTTAGGCCGAATTTGAGGCAGATTTGAGCGAAATTCAGCCAAACGGCCTAAAAATGCAAAACCAAATCTCACGGAAAATGAAAGATGACATAGACGAAAAATTCTGATTTCTCGTGCTAAATCTTGAATTTTTGAAATCCTATTTTTTGTAGGATTTATGAAATCCATTGGCTCTGGAGGAAGAGTCTGCTCCTCAAATCCCCTCTATAGCCAAACAGTCGCACACAATTTAATAAGATTTATCATGAATGTTACCAAACAGTTTTCACGATTTAGGCCCCTAAGAACTTCCAAAATCAGGATTTAGAGGATTTATGAAATCCTCCTTAAATCAAATCCTGAGTACTACCAAACATTAATGGCAAACTAGCGGATTAGAACAATTCAAGCAGTGAGGCAAAATCACTGGAGGTTATAAAAAGATTCATAACAAAATTTGACTAGGGTTTCAACAATATACTTAAAGTAAAAAACTGCATAACAATAAAATAAACATCTTCAAAGTAAAAATAAAATGAAAAACTCAACCTTTTTAACTAGAATCAAGTAAAAGGAATCCAAAAAAACCTAGATCACAACAGTCCTCAGCTCGCACTCTCTACTGTCCTAACCTGAGCTCACGCTGCCTCCTCCGACTTCTTTTTATGCTTCTCAAGGGTTGTAAGTATGGGACCATCACCTTAGGCATGAACTTATTGTCGTGCTTGGCGAAAACCCCGGTTGCCCTAAAGTAGCAATTAAGGGTGGTGATGAAGAGAATTTTGCAAGGGCGAAAATACAATTTTTTTTTTGTTTTCATATACGAGTATACAATTACCTAAAATAATCTCATGTATAAAATAATTGAAAATTAAAAAGATAAAATTAAAAGAAATAAAACTAAACAAGGAAATAAAAATTATTTAAGATGTGTTTGAAAGCTTAAATAGCTAAACTTGAAATTATGAAATGATCCTTTTGGTATATACATGGTATATAGAGATTTCTATAGATAATGTAATATTAATGTCTTGTTTAAGACTGCTTTCTTACTGTTTCTTAAATTAACTTTTTAATATAAAAATATTTTTTTTTTTACTAAAATGCTTATCTAAGAATCAATAAGAAAGCCGTCCCAAATGAAATATACATGAGGAGTTATAACATTGCTATCCAATAATCAAAACTCGAAACCGGGATTAACTATGAGTATTCTTTAGCTTTTTGTATATATATCCATTCATGAAATATACAAATTTCATATTAAAAGAAGCATAAGACATCCATAACCATTGTCATGACCTTCGTCTGCCACATCAACCATCATCATTAGTGCTAAACGTCTCCACCGTTTGTTAACATATTCGTTAGGCTCCACCGACATGAGTCAGTCTCTCACCCGAGCAACCACAACACTATTATGTTAAACACAACCACTTTATTAGTGACAATAAATGATCACAACCATCATTATCGCCTCACTCATTACCTCCACCACCTCACGACTTAACATCAGAGCATCGCCTCATCACATAAATAAAATTTTCCATATATCAATAAAAATAAAAATAATCTATATTCATTATATCAAATATATTTTATTTTACATTAAAATCAAATAAAATTAAATAAAAAATAAAAATAGTTTTTCCCTTCGTCCGTGGAAATCATAAATGATAAATCATGACATATTGTCTTATTTATAAGCAATAAAAACCCACTAATTTATGATTCAAACGCTTCCCAACTAATTTTCCCTCTCGGAGCCATCATTCCCCTTAATTAGAGAAATCTGAAAGATGCTCCATAAAGAGTAGGAGAGAGAATGTGAGGGGACTGAGAGAGACTTTTAAAAAATCACCGCAAGCAAGTGCTGGACTCCATTCCCAAGAAGGCATTATTGTACATAAAGAACAGAGAGATGATCAGCGAAACGAAGAAGCAGAAAGAGGTAAAAATCAAATATTGAACAAGTGCCGTAGTTCATGGATCCATGGAAGCATCTCTTCCTCGATCACAACATCTTAGCCATTATATCTTCCAAGCGCCGAGTCCTCTCTGGTTTCGTCCTTGGCATCGCGGCATCCATCATTGTCGTCTATCTTTTGGCTTCAATCAATACCTCTGGTGCGTTCCCCCGATTTCCTTTTCCCCGCTCAAACGACTCAGTCTCTGCTTCTTATTTGGGAAATTCTAGCTCTTTATCCTTCTCTTCTCTTACCGGTGAAAACGGTACTGTTACGGTTAGTGCAAACCGCGCTTCTATAACTACAACCCTTGAAGGTAACTTTTCTCAACCACAATCCGATCTGGGTACGGAGGAAGCTCACCAATGGAGCCATGTGAACTCATTGAGTTCGAAACTCGACGAGATAAAGAAGCCCCTCTCTGACAATATTTCGAAGAATGCCACAGATGGATTGGGGGTGGGGCGAAGTAATGTAACGACGCGGCTTAATGGTGATTTTAGAGTAAAAATTGAGAGTTTGCAGAACTTCTCTGTAAGAAAAAGCGATGACTCTGATGTTTCGGTGGAGGCAATAGGAGGGGATTCTCAGGTGAAGTGTGATATATTTGATGGAGGATGGGTGCGGGATTTGACCAAACCTTATTATCCACCGGGTTCTTGCCCTTATATTGACATTGATTTTGATTGTTATAAGAATGGGAGGCCTGATGATGAATTCTTGAGATGGAGATGGAAGCCATATGGCTGCGACATTCCAAGGTTAGCGATCCTGGATTTCCTCTCTTCCCCACACTTTAATTTTAAGCAAGCAAAAGGTGTTTCAAGCTTGCTGTTATTAGTATATAAACTGGTAGTTTGAGTTGTAGACTTGTACCTATTGGTTACACAGTTTCTTGTTTTAGTAGCGCGGGAATCATTTGTATTATTTTCTTCGATAATGTAAGCTCCAATAATTGTAGCTTTTGTATCTGACTTCAAAAAATTGTTGAAAGCATCAGCAAATTCTGAATTTCAAATGTGATTTTCTACTAATGACTACCATTTCTCCCACCGCTTGATTGTCTTCATACAGTTAACCCCCAACCCTAGTACAAATAAAAATTATGAGGCCTAGTACAAATAAAAATGTTCTAGTGCGAGTGAAGGATTTCAAAAGGAGCCCTTCCCATAACCAGCGAAAGAATTAATATAACATAATTTCTTCCCAATTAGATCGGCCGGTCCATAAGTTTTATCCCAAAGAATAATAATAATCTGTTTTTTTTTTTCTATGTTGTTGAGATGCTTTAGTCAAAGAAAGTATGTGAAGAGTTATACTTCAAGAATAAGGATGAGATAATATGCATACTCTAGAGTTAGCATCTTGGTATTATACATTTGAGCTTGCATTCCGTTTGGAGTCTGAAGGCAATGGAGCAAAGCAATCAACATTCTGAAGAGAGGTTTGGGATAGCTATTAGGATTTAGGAATGCAACAGAAAGAATAACATCTATGGTAACAGAATCCAAAGAGAATAAATAACAACACTCAATAGTTGAGCTAAAGATGGAGGACGTTTTATTTATGAAAAAGAGGTTGTTGTAGATGATAGATGGAAAGATTTAATAATATTTGCATTAACAAAATCGAAGGTTGGATTCTAAAAATCCCTTGAGAAGATGAAGATAATAGGTGATCTCAATTCTAAGAAGAATAAGGAGCTTCAAGCTATCATAAAATCTTCAAAGAAGGAGATGAAGCATATTATAGACAAAACAATGATGGTAGAAGGCATCTGTAGAAAAAATAAAGTTCTTGCATATAGAGAATGCAGAGGAATAAGTTACTAGAGTCCAGGTTAACGATCCATATGAACCCTAAGATGTTTATGGAAGAATTTAGAATGTCAGATGCTTGTATTAGTGGTCTTTCCGGAATGTAATGAATGATTTTGGATTTTAAAGAATACTGTTGTAAATAAAAATGAATTGAATGCTGATCTATTTGATAGAATTACTTTTGTTTATTGTATGGATTAGACTGAATAATATAGATGCATATGTATGAGAGAAGATAAAAGCTGTAATGAACTCTGTGATTGATTATTTGAATAGTTGAACACTTTCACATTTTATTGTGCTTACTTGAATGGGCCTCGTCTTTAATAATTATCCCTTTGTCTCCAACAGTAGCCTTCTGGATCATCTTATAGAACCATATCAAACTTTGACAATATGTAAGATTCCTGTAGCAGTTGCCTTTCCTTAACATTTTGTGGTATGATACATCTTACCCTAACAATTTTTTTAACAGGCGGCAGACTAAATATTAATTGATTTGTTATGTTCGGGAAAACTCTGACCAAAAGGTGTCCCATTTTCATTTTTATCCATGGAATTTTGCATTTAAGTGCATCTAATATTATTATAGTTAGATGTCCTCTGGGTGCTATTAGTTAGATTTCAATCCCAATTTAAAAATAGAATCGATTACTTATGGGATCATACTAAAGTTAGAGAACACCTTAAATTGTTAGTCTCTCTGGTAGTTGTCTTGCTGTCAACGTTGATTAACAGAATAATCCTTGTTTTCTACTTACCAGAAGATTAACATTCAAAGTTTGCAAGGTTCAATGTCATGCGAGCTATTTTGCTAGGCCAATTGAATTTGAAGTTTTGTTTCTCTTGTGATGGAGAGGGGTCGAGGTTTAGGGGAAAATCTTCTTTATGGTTTCAGATTCAATTTGTACTTGGAATCTTATTTGGAAGATTACGCACATGATACTGCTTAATCTTAGTTTTTTATTAGCTTGAATGCAACTGATTTCCTGGAAAGATTGAAAGGCAAAAGGATACTTTTTGTTGGTGACTCGCTCAATCGGAACATGTGGGAATCTCTTATCTGTATACTACACAATAGTATCAAGGACAGAAGTAGAGTTTATGAAGTATCAGGACGAAGCAAATTCAAAATTCAAGGTTATTATTCTTTTAGGTTTGAGGTAATAAACTCTATGTTAATATATCAATTTTGAAATCTATTTTTATTTGTACATTTAGCTGAAATGTTCATCTCTTGCTTGGTGTAGGATTACATGTGCTCTGTAGATTTCGTGAGATCACCATTTCTGGTCAAAGAACTACTGCTTAAAAATGCAAATGGGTCAGAAAATGAGCGGCTAAGATTGGATCTACTCGATGAGACAATGGCTGCTTATCATCTTGCTGATATTGTAGTTTTCAATACTGGCCATTGGTGGACTCATGAGAAAACATCCAGCGGGTTAGATTTGCTTTCCGTTATTCATTTTATGATATGGCATCTCTCTCTTTATCGGAAGCAGTTTCACTATACAATCGTAATTAGTTCCTTAGATAAAAGCTGGGTGCAAACAATCTACAACCATACATTTTACATTTATGGAAGTGCTGATTTGTACTGTTTCACTATGAGATGTTGATGTGCTTTTGTTTGGAATCTACAGGATAAACTACTATCAAGAAGGAAATCATGTGTACCCAGTTCTTGATGTCATGAAGGCATACAAAAAGGCTCTTACCACGTGGTCTGAGTGGGTTGATAGGTACCTTGATTCCAGCAAAACTCAAGTTGTCTTCAGAGGTTATTCTGTCACCCACTTCAGGTAAAACAACAATTCAGACTGCACTTAGTGTTATTTTTCTAACAAAATGCACAAATCCATTTTATAAGTTAGATCTAAATGCTGTCTCATATTACAGATCGAAAAAAATCATACCACAGGTTTAGACATTTTTTGGATTTTTTTTTTCTATATTGAAAAAAGTTTTTGTCTTATGTTAAGAAAGGTGCAGGTAGACCTAAAAAGACTTGGTTAGAAGATATTAGAAATGCCCTTTCTTTATTAGATTTAAATGAGAATTGGATCCTTAATAGGATCATACAATGGAAAAAAAAAATTCATATAGCTGATCCCACGTAGTGGGATAAAGGTTGATGATGATGTTATTGTTATTGTATTAAAAAAGTTTTTCTTGCTTTGAAGCATTAACAGCATAGGCTTCATTATTCCGGAAAAATGGTGTTAACTAATGAGGGCAAATGAACCTCAAATTGATCCATTTTTCACTCACACTTTGATATCGGTCTCCTTTCCTTTATCATTTAATTATTTATAACACATTTCTTTTTTTGTATCTCCATATTTTCAATTTATAAAGCTTTTCAAGATTGTTTAATGATACGTGGTTATGATAATTAGATTTGACTTATATTAAGAAAGGTAGAGGTAGACCTAAAAAGACTTGGTTAGAAAATATTAGAAATGATCTTTCTTTATTAGATTTAAACAAGAATTTGACTTTCAACAGGACACAATGGAGAAAAATGATTCATTTAGTCGATCCCATGTAGTGGGACAAAGGCTTGATGTTGTTGTTATATATAATTTAGCTATTTTTCAACTCCCGTGCCATCTTCAAATAACGAGAGTATTGTACATTGTATCTGATGAGGACATCGACTGACGCTACCGACATGTTTATCGATGAAGGAATCGTAGATCTACGGCTACGATTCAACGCCTCTACTTTTGATACATTTTCCATGTTATGTTTATTTAGTTATTTATTATTTTCCGCATTTACTCCTTTGGGGAATTGTCTTGTTATTGTAGCACAGAGGGCAATGTCGTACTTTTCCTTTTCATGATTGGAGACCTATATATAGTGGTCTAATATGTTGTAATTTTCTTGATGAATGATTAATAAATTTTTTTTTTGTCTTCTTCTTCTTCTTCTTCTTGTGAGCGCACTAGAGAGAAGGGAAAGCCCAACGTGTGGGCAAACGAAATACCCACCAATCACCGGAAGAGTCCGTGGTTCGTAGTCTTTTTATTATTCATCTTCTTCGTTTCTATCCTACCTCCGATTATCACCCACCATCTTATCGTCATCCTTCTACCTTCATCCCGCCACCAAAATACCCCCTTGAGCTCCACCTAAGTCTCCTTCCACATCCCCACCCGCCGACCAAGCTCTTGGCCACCCCAACCCGACACCAAGTCCACGTTTTCCCCCTCTTGACCGCCGGCCCCACCCACTTCAAATTCATTATGATGATTTTAAATCGCCATAATGATTCCCTAAATTAGCTCTCGCAATAAAGGAAGGAATTAGAGAATTTTGAAATTCAAAAACTTTCCTTATTTCCAAAATCTAACTAAGGAAAGTTTCAAATTTGAATCCAATCTAAATTTAATTTAGAGAGGACTCATTATTTTCCCTCCTAATTGGCCAAACTTGTTTGGTAAGAGCATAACTCCCCCACAATCCCCTCCCCCCTCTCTCTTTATGCCGCCAGCCCCATCATGGGGTTTTCTCCATTAATCCCCAATTAAAGCCCTAATTGCTATTAATTTGAATTCAAATATCAAATTAGTTCCCTCCAAATTTACTCAAAATATGAAATTACTCTCAGATTTGAATTAAGCCTCACCCTAACCTAACTTAAGCTCCTTCATCTAAGCCACCCGCCCCTTCTTCCTACCTTGGCCGCCCCTTCCTTGCACCCCTCTTTTGAGAACCTTGGTTGGCTCATGACACTTGAAGCCAAGAGAAGAAGTCAACCTCTCCTCCCAACCTCGTCATTGGTGCATGGCCGATCCTGAAATCGACCACGAATTTGTATTCGACGATCAAGGGAGGACGGACATACTTGGATCCCCGTTCTTTGGCGTCTTCTTCGGCAACGACGAAACGGTTGAAGGCTACATCGACCACATCTTGTACCAACTGACATTGTCAATTGAAGAGCACCTTCCACTGGGTCGTTGGGTAATCGTCGGTCATCCACCACCTCCTCCAACGCTGGCTACCGCTCCGTCAACGAAGGTCCTCGGCGCTGTCTTCCTAGTGGTAATATCCTTCTTCGTATGGTTCATCTTTCTCCGCTAAAGCCTACGAGTGATTGAGTGAGAAGGTACTCAAGGTGAACCTCTCGTTGTTAAGTGTTGGATTATGTTATGTGTATGATGGAGCTTAGTTTGTAATTTTCGGAATCCAGGAAAAACAGCCCAAAAACAGTGGAAAAATGCGAAATTTCTTGGATGAAAACACTCACAAACACTTCAATAACTTGAATATCAAAAGACTTACAAGTTTCCACGGATACAATGCTCTCAATTCAAGAAGAGAAGCTTTCTCCCAAGCCCTAGAGAAGAAGAAAGCTAAAACAGCCACCAAAACAAGATCCCTCCAAAAACCCACCCTAACTCACTTTTAACTCTCACATAAACCCCTCAAAATCCCCTAATTACCCCTAGGGAAAACACCTCATCCTTCCTCTTCAATTTGGTGGGCCCCTTGGGCCCACCCGACTCCTTTCTCCCCTTCGGCTGTCCGCCCAGGCAGGCGGCTTCTCCGCCTGCAGTAAGTGAGAACCGGCCCTTTTTGGGCCGGTGTTGCTATGGACCGGACCGGTCCATCATCACTTCCCGCCCAAAGATTAACCTTGTCCTCAAGATTGAAAGCGGGAAACTGAGCTTGTATGATCTCATAGGTCTCCCAAGTTGCGTCATGTGTCGATAGATTTTTCCACTCAATCAAAACTTCCTTCCCTCCTTCCTCAGTGTGTCTAACACCTTTCAATGCAGAAGGCTCTAATAGACTTGTACCATCTTCATACAATGTTGGCGGTAAAGTATCGACTGGTACAGAACCTCCCTTGAACTTCTTCAACTGTGACACATGAAAGACTGGATGAATCGTAGTAGTGGGTGGTAACTTCAGGCGATATGCTACATTCCCAATCTTCCGCTCTACCTCATTGGGGCTATAATACCTTGGGGCCAACTTAACACTTAGCCTCCTTGCTAAAGTATTCTGCCTGTAAGGCCTCAACTTCAAGTAAACAAATTCCCCAATCTCAAATTGAACATCCTTCCTATGATGATCTGCTGCCTGCTTCATGATGTTCTGGGCTCGTAACAAGTGGTTCTTCAGCTCCCCCAAGATCTCATCCCTTTCAGACAATTATTGCTCCACTAAGGACACTGATGTAGAACTTTATCTCTGTCGGAGACTATCGACTCAGGAAAGCCATGAAGCCTCACAATCTCACGGATGAAAACTGCTGCGACGGTAGTGGCATTAAAAGGATGTCTCAACGGTATGAAATGAGCATACTTACTAAGCCGGTCAACTACCACTAGAATGACAGTGTAGCCGTCCGACTTGGGTAAGCCTTCGATGAAGTCCATAGTCACCTCCGACCAAACCTGATCAGGTAACTCAAGTGGCTGCAACAGTCCTCCAGGGGCACATGCTTGGTACTTGTTCCTCTGACAAGTATCACACTGGGCCACCATTTCCTCCACATCTTTCCTCATCCCCTTCCAGTATATCTCTCTAGCCAATCTCTGATAAGTCTTCTGCCCTCCTGAATGTCCTCCAATAGCACTGGCATGAAACTCCTGGAGTATCAGTGGAATATGGGAAGAGGTCCTAGGCAAAACCAACCTCCCTTTATGTAGCAACAGCTGATCCTCCACTGTATATCCTGCTGGTATTTCTTCCCCCTTCCTTATGGCCTCTCTGAAGCTCCCCAATTCTTCACTAGTCATATTTTCAGTCCTCAATTTCCCCCAATCCACTAACTGAGGCACAGATGTAGCAATAAGTTGTGAGCACTCCACCTTCCTGGATAAGGCGTCAGCAGCTTTATTCTCCAATCCTGGCTTGTACTGAATCTCGAAATCATAGCCCAACAATTTGGAGAGCCATCTTTGATGCTCTTCTGTCACCATGCGTTGCTCCAACAAGTATTTTAGACTCCTTTGATCAGTCCTCACAAGGAATCTTCTACCCAACAAGTACGGTCGCCACTTCTGGATGGCCTTAACAATGGCCATCAGTTCTCTTTCATAGACAGATTTGAGCCTTGCCCTCCCTGATAATACCTGACTGTAGAAAGCAATGGGTCGCCCTTGCTGCATGAGGACCGCTCCTAACCCCAAACCAGATGCATCAGTTTCCACCACCAGCTGCTGCTTGAAATCCGGTAATGCTAACACCGGGGCACTAACCATAGCTCTTTTCAAAGCCTCCATAGCGCTATCTGCCTCCGGTCCCCAATTGAAGCTGTCTTTCTTCAACTGTTCAGTGAGTGGAGCTGCAATAGATCCATACCCCTTTATGAACTTCCTGTAGTATCCTGTGAGTCCTAAGAAGCCCCGGAGAGCCCGAAGGTTCTTAGGAGTTGGCCAGCTCGTCATGGCCTCCACCTTGGAAGGGTCAGCTGCCACCCCTTCTGCTGAGATAATGTGCCCCAAATATTCCACACTTCTTTGAGCAAAAGAACACTTTTTTTGATTGACATACAACTGATGATGTTGTAAAGTGTTCAAAACCTTCCTCAAGTGCTCCAAGTGCTCCTGTAGGGACCTGCTATAGATCAGAATGTCATCAAAAAACACTAGAACAAACCTCCTCAACATGGGTTGAAACACTTGGTTCATCAGGGCCTGGAATGTAGAAGGAGCATTGGTGAGCCCAAAAGGCATCACCAAGAACTCATAGTGTCCTTCATGAGTCCTGAAAGCAGTCTTGGGGATGTCCTCCCTCCTCATCCGGATCTGATGATATCCGGACTTCAAATCAAGTTTGG